GTCGCAAGTTATTTATTAAAGTAATTGTTATCCATATAATTGTGTTCGTGTTAATATCATCAATTACTAAATGCCACTCAAGGAAGTTACAATCAAGTTGTGTTTATAGGCCTATTTTATACCCCAATTTTGTTCACACGATCCCCACTGACAGTGAAAGCTTGTATCTCACGATGTTGACCGATATAATAGAGGCGAGTGTCGAGCGTGAAGTAGATCTTGCTTAATCTTTTCGAAACACCTGATGGTACTTGGAGTCCACTACTATACAATTACTCTCAATTTTGAAATACTTTAGACGAGATTTTGATTAACGGACCCATCGCCCAAGTTAACAGTCCATTTTTTATGTTCATCCATCGCCCAGCAATTTTTATCCAATATTTTTGGGAGGCTAAACAATACAAAATTAAGGTCTACACCTAATTGTTCAAAAACTTACAAAATTAGAAATAAACTATAACAATTTTTCTTTTTCATTAAATTTTTTTTTTCAACAATATTATCATAAATAGAAAATAAAATTAGACTAATTAGAACTTTTCTGCTTTATAAAAATTTCATCTTTTTAGTTGGATTGAGATCAAATTCCAAATCTAGGTCGTCATCATTGTCAATAGTAAACAAGGATTGTAGGCCGGGTTTTGGGCCCATTATAGTGTCGGGTTTCAGGATGGGTTTAGGGTCAGGTCTAGGGTTGGGTTTTGGGGTCAAGCTAGGACTGATATTCTTGGAATCCTTGGGGTTTAATACATTTGTGTTTGAGTTCACTGATAGACTTCTGTCCAAAAATTTACCAGAATCCAACACAGTTTTTGAATTATTCAGCATAGTTTTTGAATTATTCAGCACAGTTTTTGGCTTTGAGAATGTTGAATTGTCTTCAGAAGGCAAAATTGTGCTGCGATTCTCAGAGTTGACATATTTGACTGGATTATGTTCCTTTGTGCCACAGTTTTTGAAAGTTTTTAAATTTGGGGTAAGTCTCTGATGTGAGGTGGCTGATTTAGAAACTGAATTGAGAGAAGTCTCATTTGGATTTGCTTTTGCCTTCAAAGCTATATTTCCATTGTGATTTGTTAAATTCGCAAGGTTTTTAAACTTAAAAGAAAAATTGTTATGAGACTCCTTCAAATGAATTCTCTTTTGTGTTGAATTTTCTTTGGTTACTTCATCCATCTTTAAGGCATCTTGTGAACAAGGGGGAGTAACTCCAACAGCTGGCAGAGCAACACGATCTTGGCTCCTAATTTGAGATTGGGTCTCAGAATTTTGTGAAAATAATCCAGGACGGGATTCTGGGATGTCCAGCATCATGCATCTTCTTTTTGAAGTTTTTTGGACAGGATGATCATCGGAAAAAATGTCATCTTCATCAAGTTCCAGATTTATCGAAAAATTCAAGGCAGATTTTGTGCTTTTTTCTCTGTCATTTTTGGATGCTTCAATGTCCCCTGGTTGCTTTTGGCTTCCTGCCCAATCCCATAAATTTCCAGACAAAAGACTCATGGTCAAATCACAAATTTTGGGAGGAGATGGAACACAAGCTTGCTTGCAGTCGAGATTGTTTGAACTAGTTTCAGGAAGTGATGTTCCAAACTTATCACGATCCTTGAAAGCGAACTTGTCCAATTTTGACATGGTTTTTGTAGAAACTCTTGGTAAAGCTTCAGAGGTGATTTCTGCTTGTGTGACTTTTGAAGACTCTGAAACCTCAGCCTGTGCTTTCGAAGAAACAGGATTTACTGTAGTTTCATCATGATCATCCAAAGTAACACTTGGAGTTTTGAAGACCTCAAGATCCTTTGATCCTGATGCAGCTTGCATTTTCGCTCGCACTTTTGCTGCAATGTTCACTTTTGGTCTCTTATATTTCTGTTTATCCTTGACATAAATCATTTTAGCAACAGATGATTTGATTGGTTCAGACTCTGTTTCCATGGAGCCAGGAGTTAAGTCTTGATGTGTTTTTCTTGTCTGTATTGTATCAGTTACTTTGTTCTGGATTTTATCTGAGCTGATCATTTGTAAAAAGTTGGAACGTTTGGGTTCCAAGTTTTCTGGAACTTTTGGACTTGAAATTGATCCTTTTAGATTGCTGTGCACCTTTAAATGTTGGTCGTTATCAGTTTTGGATGCGTCACATTGACTGCTGGTGTACACTGGATCAAAATGAACCTCTTCAGTAACAGATTTCGAATTCCTTTTGTGATTTTTAAGATGTTTTGGAGTTTGAATGTCATCGAAATCTTGAGAGAAATCCAACAGGACGGATAAATTGGAGGAATTATGCAGAAGTGACTGGTCTGGGCTGTAGCTGATGCTGTCATCGGCATCATTTATAGCATCATCATCATCCCGTCCTTCAGCATCATCAACTGTATCCTGGAGATGCTGCTCAGAAGGATGAAGATTATCAAAAATTTCTTGATTCAGCACATTGTCTTTTTCATGATTTTGAAATTCATCTTGGAATTTATCTTGATGGTCTAAATTTGATTTCTGAACACAATCTTGTTTTTTCAAGTTTCCGACAGAAGTCATAAATTTGCCACCATTTTGGTTTGGAACTGATAATAGTCTGGAAGCAGATCCATTTTGTCGGTCAACTATGTTCTGTTGTGTGTTTGTTGGTTGACTAGCTGGTGGCCCTGGTGATATCTGTATCACATCAACAACATCAGGAATATCTTGACGACGACCTTGACCTTTCCTGGCTGAACATCCAGGATCATCTGTACCACATCCAGGTGAATCTGGACCATCAGTTTTCGAAGATTTTGACGATTTTTCTAAGCGATTGTTTGTCTGTCGATCCAGTTCTTCCATTTCGTCTTTTAGTAAATCCAACAGATCTAGTCTCTTTAACACCATCTCCACTGAAATGAAAATATTTGGATGTTTTATGAATTCAAAAACAAATCAAAATAATAATCTGTATGTTTCATTTTGTATCTTTTCTGCAGGTTAATATACTTCTGTGGAATATAGACTCAATAGCATCAATGTTTTGTCTGTTTGTAATATTCCAACTAATTTCACAGAACATATATGAAAATTTGGATATATCGGTCCAAACACTAATATTTTAACTATTGCCAGTAACAATCAGGACAAGATCTTGTTATGGAAATGGTGTTCCTACAGAGTATGTTATGTTTTTGTCTTGCTTAAAAATTCCTATTTCTGATACTAAGGAAAAATTGGACGGCACAGGTGCTTACAAACCTTGTAACTGATATTCTTCCTCTGGGGAGTCAGGAAAAGCTGTATGTAGAGCGTTTACACCTCCAAGTAAAGCTGCTCCCTGAATAACAACAATATTGAATGATATTATCTTTTAAATATTTACTTATTGAGGCACTATTATTGGTGATGAAACATTTACGATGAATATCAAATATGGTTGAACAATTTCAACTGTATACCACCCAATAGCCATGTTCCCAACTGTTTTAAAATACCTGCATGGAGGATTCCATCAAAGTGACAGCAACAATGGCATCTTGAACTGTGACCTCATCACGGAACATCAACCTGGCGTGACCTTGAGCTAATCGTATCATACTCTGAAGCAGCCTCATTGTGGTTCTGGCGGCGTTTCGATTGTCTGCCCCTCTCTGTGCCCTATAGTAGGCTTGTAGCACTCTAAAATAGAAACATAGAATTAAATTAATAAGAACACTATTATAGATATACTACTTCTTTCTTTAATTTTAACAACGTTTCAATTCACATACTGGAATCTTTATCAAACACAAAATAATAATATCATTTAGAGATTATAAAGATATCAGTCAATCAAAAATTGCCCATAATAAAGACATAGATAGCAAAAAAAATTAAAAATTCTCCGAAATAAAGAAAGTGAATTTGAAAAAAGAAGCCAAATTGTTTGAGACTGACCAAATCTCAAAACAAAGGTGAATTGAAATCTGTAGATTCTAGGGTGATAAAGTCTAAACGAGAAAGAACAAACCAACAGACAGAAATGAGTGACACCAACATATAGAAATAGATGCAGAAAATCAAGGAAGATATCACCCTCTCTTGGATAATAAAACATTTTCTAAACAAAAGAAAGATAACTCTCATGTATTACCTGGTAGCGCCCTCTGTTAGTTTTGGAACCACAGTTTTAATCAAGGCTAAATACGCCTGCATCTTTTCCATACTCCATAGATGTTTAGTATTTACTTGGGCTGAAAAAAGTATCAGATGGGATAGCTATTGAGATAGCCATGGTGAAATAGTTACATATGATAGCTTTGATGTCAGATTTCGATAGTCATGGTGAAATGAACACATGGGATAGCCACAAGGGGATAGCCATGGTGAAATGGACAGATGGGATAGCCATAATGGAATTGTTACATGGGATAGCCATAAGGGAATAGCCATGGTGAAATGGACAGATGGGATAGCCACAAGGGAATAGCCATGGTGAAATGGACAGATGGGATAGCCACAAGGGAATAGCCATGTTGGAAGAGTTAGATGAGTCATCGTGGGATAGCCATGATAAGAAAGTCAGATAGGATAGCCACCTTTGGGTAATTAGATAAAGGGTTAATAGGTTCATATGGGGGCTCAGTGAATATAGAACATACATAATACCAGCAAGGTTAAATTACAATTGTATCTTGTCAAATATCTACATGTATATCATTTTTACCTCCTATACTTTTGTTTTCAAGAATATAGCTGGACACCATCCTATCCCAATCTTCGTTTTGACTGTCTAATAATACCAACACCAAATCAAACCTGCTTAATAAGGGACTAGCTAGAGCTACGTTCACACATATAGACTGGAATATACAAACAAGACAAATTACAATGCAAACAACATAACCCAGAAACACCAATTATAAATTTTGATTTTGTTAAAATTCAACTGCACTGCTAGATATATACTTACATACTCAGTCCTACCACCAATGTCAAGCCTATATGAACTTAGTCTTATACCTTGACTGCAATAGCCATTATTCCATCACAGATTACAGAATGATAGGATTGTAATCCAGGAACTAAAGCCAATGAGAGGGCTCGACAGACAGACTGCACATTATAACTTAACGTTCACTTTTGTCAAGCTCTGATTGACTGTATTCATTAGCGAACAATCCAATCAAATCGCTGTAATCCGTGATACAAGAAAGATGGCTGTTGCAGTCAAGGTATGTGGAAGATTGTAATACTTTTTTGTGTAAATTGAACTTTACCAATTATCATTGGCATTAAAAAAAATAGATATTCACCTGTTCTGGATCGTATTGGCCTTTAGGGTTGGTGGCAGCTAGAATAGTTGTTTTGGTGTTCAATTTACATACTAGCCCAGCCTGAAAGAAGGTTAAGGGTAAAGTTGGTTTTCAAACAGTAACATCAGCCTGTCCTTTTCGATTTCCAATAGTCGTACAATTTCTAACATGCAGGACCCACTGCACTTTTCTATATCAGCTCTTCCATCTCTTCTAGTGGTCAAGTAGAGTTGCCGAAGCTGATAGGAGAGTTACCTCCCTTACTTACTCTGACACGGGTAGGTAAGTAGAGTTACCTACCTTAGCTACACTGATAGTCTGCTGCTCCATAGCTTCGTGTATACTGGCTTTATCATGTTCCTTGATACTGTTAAACTCGTCTATACAGCATAGACCACTATCAGCCAATACCAACGCTCCAGCTTCTAGCTGCCATTCTCCAGAATCCTAAAACAACAATTAACGGGCCCATTGAAAAAATATCTCGAAATATAATTATTTTAAATCAATTTACATTGTTCAGAATCACCAAAATAATTAACTGGCTTGTGAAACGAAAATTTGGGATTACATTCGAGAATCCTGTTAAAAGAAGTTCGATGGTCTTGAAATTTTACGGCACAAAAACTTGAATTATTGCCATTTTGTAACAATAAAAAAATGTGATTTTTTGAGGAAATTACTTTCTCTCCCCCTCCCCCTACCCAGCATGGTACGGTCAGAACTTCTAATTAATTCCCTCCCTCACCTTTACAGCTGTAACAGTCAGCCCAGCACTAGTACTACCAATTCCAGTTGTCAAAACAGATCTGGGGGTAATTTTAGCTGCGTATTTCAAAAACTGAGATTTTCCTGTGCCTAAAAATATAAAATATGCTTTTCAGAATTTTAAAAGAATACAGCAAAACATTTCAAACAGAAGATTGGATGTAAGTCTCAAATTAAAATGGATAAATTGTCATCCCCTAGAATCTCCATGCTCCCTGTAACCCCCTCCCCCAGTATCTATAAATCAAATTCAGATTTCTGTGTGTTTTTTTTTTCATAGGTGCTCTCTGCTTCTAAATGTGGTTCAAATCTTATAGTTATAAAATAGCCAGCTAACCTGGATCTCCTACCAGTAATAAATGAGCTTCACCACGAACTTTAGACCCACTCTCATCTTCTCTCTAGAGAATAATTATTCATCACAATTAAAATATTCAGTGTATGATTTTAAAGGTGGCAAATAAACCTTGTGATAAAATAATTAGTTGCACTGTATTACATGACCAAGTCAATGCATCTCCTGGTGACAAGACAGATGAAAATATAATTTAATTCAGTGAACAGCCAAAGGTTACTGATTGATTTACCTGCACGCCACCAGCCAGACAAACAGCTACTGCTAATTTCACCACGTACAAACCATACACCTGTGGACAGAGACTAGCTAATATTTTATTTCTACCTGCCAGTGGACTGTACATATTCTCTTCCCAAAACTCAGCAATTTCAGATTTCTACAAAACAATAAAAATGGTTGATTTGGATACATTGCTTATTTAGTTTTTGAAGCTCTAAATACTAGGATATAGGGCCAGAAATTGGCCAATTTAAGACTATATTATTGTTGTTGTTGATGTCACCATGTAGTTTTGAGGCGATACAACAAGCCTAGATACATGTATCTTATTGCATGGTCCTGTATCAATACTCTACAGCACTAGTTAAACAAGACCAACACATACGCTATAACGAAATGTCATCCAATTGCAGAAGAAATCAAATATTGAAATTCAATTTTTGACAGACACAAATGGGAATAACTCATTATATGTGTACTGTATCACTTGGTTTTAAAAATTTTCCTTAATTGTTCTGTTAACAAAATTAACAATAATATTAATATTAAGTAATGTTCCTTCACTGAGATGATAAAGGGAGACTACTGCTTGAACCAAGGGAAATAACTCACCATATCCTGTGTGATGAGAATATTATTTTTCTGTTCGTTAGTAACGAGAACATGATTGGCGTGATGTACGATGTCTATATCACATTTACTTTCGACTGACAATGTCTTCCAACGTCTTCTTACTACACCACTAGAAATACAGATATCAGAGTTTTACACCGGATCGGAAATTTGAGAAAACATTCTTTTATATTACGTCCTAATTTTCTGCACCATGTTGGCTAATGAAGACAGTTTCATATTAAACGCACATTTGATATATTTTTTTCCAGAAACTATATTTTTCAAGAATAACAACTTCACAATTAAAGATCCTTTTTACCAGCTGGTCCTTGGCCAAACCTCTTGGCATTGATCTTTCCAGGATTATCTGTACCCATTTAAAGTTGGGTTGACTGGAATAATGAGTGAAGATGACTTATTATTCAAGGTTGACTAGAAGGTCAAGCATGTTTCATGATCCTTATCAGTATAACTTGATTGAAAGGAGTGTTAACTTTCAATTTTTACGTAAAATTACAATATCTGGGTCTAAATCTATGAGAAAGGGGAGACAACTCTTACCATACAGTGACATCATCTCCAGCTTTACATTCATCAACTAAATCATCTTCTAGTACGACCCACATTGACCTGGGTATTGTCCCCATTGTTAATTTCTGAACTTGCTCCTGTATCTTTATTTCTTGATAATTGCTACATTTTAACGGAGAAGTGGCTGAAAAATTTATTTCATTAATAAGTTAAAGGTTGTAAAGAGGTTTTCATAATTTTCATTTTATTCTTTTCCTGTTTTTCTGGTATCATCAAGTATCAATACAAGACCACACAATACCATACACATGTTGTGACATATTGTATCCATTCACCAATATATCGTGCCAGCACTTATAATTTTAATCTTCCTTACCTCTTTCATTTAACGGTGAAAAATTGGTGCTGTTACAGACATCATTAGGACATTTTGTGGGTTTGTGAAGTGTGTTGTATCTTTCAAAATCAACCTGGTCAATTATAAAAAAAAGAATTAGATTTTGTGGAAATGCAAAATTCTTAGTTTGTATTTTTTTTGCTTTAAAGCATCTTCCTTTAAATATAATAGTCTTTTAATATATAGATGGGACTGTTTACTTTATCCAAATAGCTTCATATAAGGTATTGAATTCAATGAATTCTAACCAATCAAAACAACCATTTTTATAGGTACACATATCATATTCACGAGCTTTGAACGCAATGTCTAGTTTATGTAGTGTTTATAGACTTATTTTACCTCAGATCAAAATAGAATGATGTTGCTTATGTTCTGGATCTGACATGAATGAGCATAAACATCTTCTACTGTACACTGTTTGTATTCATGTTTAAAACCATCCTTTATATATTTTGATCTTAAAATTGATAAGCTTACCCTGGCTGTAACAAGAGTGCGACATTTATTACAACTAAATTCCTTTTCAAACTCTAAAACACGAACTAGTGTTGTTCTAATCACAGTGCCTGTAATTGAAATATTTTTCACAACTGTCAGGGTTGAGATTTCAAACCAGGAAGTGCCATCAGGTTAGGTCAAAAAGTTAATTTGATGAACGTTCAAGAGGGCTGTCGTTAGACCCTAACTTGAGTGGCTATATCAAGAATAAAAGCTAATAAAAAAACAAAACGAAAGTATGGTGTAATATTAACTAGAGTGGTTACTAATATTTACCTGTTATGGAGAGGAAGTTACCAACATCAGCTGTTTTTGGTAAAGTTGTACGTGTTAGTTCAGGACAAACTGGTAGCGCCATAATCCTGGCATGTATGTTCTTTTTTACACTCTGTCAATATTATTAATTGTAAAGGGAGACAATTTGATGTGAAAATTTTATACAAAAGAGAAAGTAATATCTATGTTTTATATGGATAAGAAATTAGATTCTTGAGTAAAATGTCTACGAATTGGTAATAAGATGGTTTTCAATGATCCTGTCTACCATCTGTGCCTAGACCAAACCTCTAGGCATTGATCAAAATTTTCCAGGGGGCCACAGGAAATTCTATCACTATGTGAAATGATGCAAAATTTGAAAGTGTAAGGGTCAAGGCAGGCACTCCTGAAGAAACGTCACTGAGTAAGAGTTACATACCAGTGTAGGGTCAGTCATATCTTGTTTAATAGTTTGCTGGGCTTCTATCAATGCCATATCACACAGTGGTAGGATCTGTAGAGGACTGGATAACAACCCATCACAAATAGACATGTTAGATTCAAATAACGTTAGCGCGCTGGAAGAAAATATATAATATACGTCATTATTTTATAACTGCACATCTGTGTACGATTCAAAACATAAACAGACTATACGATTTTAAAGGAACAGCTTTGCCATTTGTTTGTCCAATCATAACCTAGTCTCAGAAGCGAGATAATCATTATGAGCTAATCAGTAATAGTGTTCACAGCTCACCATCGAAATTTGATTTTAAATTCACGTGCATCCAGAATTATCTGCGTTTAAAAGTTATATGACATGTCTTTTCTTGAGACTCCATCATATATAGAACTTAGGCATACAAAGACATTGAAAATGTCTACTTTGAAGTCTATTTGAAGGAATTATGCAAATTTTGTGCAGGTCTTGTACTTCTGAAGACTATTTTTGTATATTCATGATGCAAAACAACTCCCAAAAATGGCGTACCATCCTCTTTAAGACTAAAAAGTAAACTTGTACAAACTTACTCAAATGAAATAGAAAAATGTTCCCCTTCATCTTCATGTTGTAGAACAGAAATTAACTCAGGGCGATGGACATCTATTGCATATATCTTTATAACTTCTAAAAAGATAAAACATTAAATTGCATTCCATGAGCTTACCAAGACTCAATTTGTTTATTTGCCAGTCATGTCTGGGTGGAGCTCCAAAATGACTGACTGCTATTTCTATCTTTCAAGACATTGCTATATTGGATATTCTAGATTTTCATGTTTTCTTGATGAAAATTGGTACAAGATCTTAATTTGTAAACTTGTTCAAATGTCTGGTTGGGAATTAATACAAAAATGATGGATGATATTGATGTGTGATTGTATGTCAATCGAGACTACAGTAAACTTGACAGTCACGAATTTTCAAGGAATAAAAACGAAAAATCGCTACCTATAAATTTGGATTTTTCAGTTTCTTTTAGTTCCTGAGATGCCATTGTATTGATTTTAGTCAATGTCAACTTTTACTTTGCTTTCAATTTTATACAAACTTTATGATTAAGAAATTCGATTTTCTTGAATCACCCGCCATTTGATTTCAGGAGTTCCTTCCCTTGACCGGAAGACAACAAAATGGCCGCGCCCATTAAAGTTGAAAAAGTTTAATTCTTACAGATTTTCTTAATTAATCCGTTCAGTCATTATTTGATCGAATTTTTGCATCAGGAGTTTCAAAGTCAAAATGAGGACGGTTCTGATGGTGGCTGAGAAGCCGTCGCTGGCGTTGTCTTTGGCCAAAATTCTCTCAAACGGTAACATGAACAGTCGGAAGGGTTCCAATGGTGCTTGCTCCATTCACGAATACAGAGGGAAATTTAATGGAGAAAATGTCACCTTCAAAATGACGTCTGTTTGTGGTCATGTCATGAGTTGTGATTTTGTTGGTAAATATAACAGCTGGGATAAAGTTGATCCGGTAAGTTTGTTAAAAAAATCAAACATTCTAAGTCTGGAATTCCAACTTTACATCTCTTTTCTGTGGGTTTAAGTTCAGACTTGTTTGATCTACCCAAAGAAGTAGCATAATTGCTCAAAAAACAGGCATACCAGTATTCCATTTTTATTAAAAAACTGCATTTTGAATTTTATTTTATGCTTAGGCTGAGTTATTCAACGCACCAATTCAAAAGAAAGAAGCATCTGCTAATCTTCACATGCCACAGTTTTTACGACGTGAAGCCCAGGGAGCTGATTATCTAGTATTATGGTTAGATTGTGATAAAGAAGGGGAGAATATTTGTTTTGAAGTGATGGAATGTACTGTTTGTGTGATGAACAGAGTTCCTTCTCAGGTTTGTTTTATATATTGAGCACCTTCCATCCAACATAAGGTCTAAGTCTCCAAACTATGGCATAAGTGTCATTATAATGACTGTTATGACTATATTATTACAAATAGGGTTTTCTTAAGGCCCTAAAACTTAAGTTATTTCAACATTATAGAATGTATAAATAAGCTTTGTATCGGGGAAAGTATGCTCCCAGATACTTCTCACACTTCAAGTGATTAAAAGTAATAAATTCATCTGTATCATTATTTTATTCTTGATAAAGATCCGTGTATGTTTATTGAACGTTGTTTAAATTAAAGGAAAGAGTAGTAAGCTTTTAGCTTATATCAACAATGTTTTGTTGTTTATCTAAAATATCGCTTTACAACTGATGCATTGAGCATTATTTTAACAGTGAAGATGTCTTGATAATTATCCAAATATTTTTGTATTTAATAATTACAGCAAGTATATCGAGCTAGATTTAGTGCTATAACAGATACAGATATTAAACGTGCCATGCAGAATCTCGTATCACCCAATAAAAACGAGGCCCAGTCTGTGGATGCTAGACAAGAATTGGATCTGAGAATTGGATGTGCTTTCACCAGATACCAAACTAAATTCTTTCAGGTGAATTCTTCTATTTTTGTTGGTATTTTTGTTATCTTGACACTGTAATTTGTGATTGGTTTTGAAAGCCTTCACTGACTCTTGTAAGCATTGGTCGTGGTATTGCAATTTTTCTTACCTTTGAGGACGATTTGAATCAACGACAGCTTAATTGCCTGGCTAAATCCACAGAAAAAAACGATTTGACAGTATAACCTGATTCTGATGATTAGTAAACTAAATATTTTTTCTCCCATGAGTTACATGCTGTGCACGCTAAAAATTCCTCAACAGTTGAAAATTGAACTTTAGTAGGCACTTAAAAATAGGATGTAAAATTTAATTATATTTTGTATTATATTCAGGGTAAATATGGAGATTTAGACAGTACATTGATATCCTACGGACCCTGTCAGACACCAACTCTGGGTTTCTGTGTGGAACGTCACGATAAAATACAGTCATTTAAACCAGAACCTTACTGGATCATGGATGTACAGGTAGGAGACATAAGCTTTAGCTTCGTCTTTCGCAGTTAATTTTATTTGATTATTATACATTTTTACCCCAAAATATATAAGAATGCCCCGAATCAATTTTATTTTCAAAATATTTCTTGGACTTGAACTCTTCTCAGACACCCCTCAGGAGGGTTGTGCCTATGCCCATTTATCACATTTTGAATCTCAACTTCGACATTTGCAGTTGTCCTACAAAGGTCGTATATCCAAAAAGTAGTCAATGAGTAGTTTTTAATTACAGATAACTCATCCGAATGGTAAATCAGTGAAATTGGACTGGGAAAGAGTTAGATTGTTTGATAAAGAAATAGCTCTAATGTTTTTAAACATGGTCAAGGACAGTGAAGAAGCCAGGTAAAAATTAAGTTACAGAACTAGAACTTAATATGAACATTCATAGTACAAAAATGTCAAAGTTCAGAAAAATTTGAGTTTTTGGAAATCTCTAACATATGATTAAATTAATTAGATATTAAATGATAACATGATGAGCTATAAAATTTTAAAAGGAATATCTACCCGTAGTTGACAAACCTTAATACCAAAATACACATAATTAACTGTTTGGACTGTCTAAAAATAGATGTTAGTGTGTATAAATGACCAACCTGTAGTTCTGTCTGTATTATTATTGTAGAGTTGTTAATACCACACAGAAGGAGAAAACTAAAGCTAGACCAATTGCTTTAAATACAGTAGAATTATTGAGAGTGGCCAGTTCTGGATTGGGTAAGGCTACAAGTTTTATTGTTTTAAATTGTTCTCTTTCATTCTCTCAAAGCAGTCTGGCCTCTCCAAGCCCCCTATTCTCCACTCTCAGATATAGTATGAGTTTCTCTGTTTGTAGGTATTGGCCCCCACCATGCCATGCAGATTGCTGAGCGTCTGTATACCCAGGGTTATATCAGCTACCCCCGAACAGAAACTACTCAATATCCAGAAAACTTTGATCTGAAGTAAATATTATTTTCTTTTTCCCTTTTTCTTACCCAATTTAATATTACACAGGCTGAAAATAGGTCAGTTGTCTGAATATCACATAGCTTGAAAATCTCGAGTATCAATATTAACATTTCTGAATCTTTATTTATGTATCTATAATGCGCAATTATTATTTTCTTCTTAAAAAGTGCTTGCCAAACAAAATGTTTTCACCTGATATTCTCCAATGAATATTGACAGTCTGCCATATTGTAATTGATCGCAGATGGTTGAAGGTTCTGAAACTGAAAGAAAGTAATAATAATATAATTGATATTTTAGAGGCGTGTTACGTCAGCAACAATCTAGTCCGAACTGGGGAGATTATGTCAGTAAATTATTAAGTGAAGGAATACAAAAAGCCAAGTAAGTAAGATTTCATTGTTATTATATATTATAGAAATTATAAATCGTTTTGTGTCTTTGTTCACATGCCTTAAGTCCTATGTTGGAAAGTTATCCCCCCTTTTTTAATTTAGCTATCATGGGGGGGTTGCTCGATTAGTTAGTTCTGCATGTTCGGAATCAACCACACATTCAATATAAAGTTGGATCAGGATTCAGAACACAGAATTAAAAATGGCAGAGAAGAAAATAGTTCGGAAAATGTGATATATCTACTTTCGATTGAGGGCAGAACAGACGGAACCTGAAACATCAGCAGAATGATATTAGCAGATAGACCTTGTAGAATACTATTATATATTGATATGCAAACATGCTTAGCAATATGGTCTAAATATTTTGTATTTTTTCACCCCTCTCAGGAAAGGAAGTGATGCCGGCGACCATCCTCCCATTACACCAATGAAATTAGCTCGTGAAGGTGATTTCGATCATGATTCGTGGAAAGTTTACGATTATATTACTCGGCATTTCATAGCCACGGTAAGATACATTTTGATAATTAAACAACAAATATCTTTCATTTCAATGGTTTAGAGTGTACATAAAGAATAAAAATACGTACAGGCTAGTCAATTCTGTTAATCAAAATCTCGTCCACTTATGGAAAAATCGAGAGTAAAAGTAGTATACTAGTGGACTCCTGCAAAGAGAAATACTGTCTGATGTTTTGAAAAGAGTAAGCTTGGTCTGATTTCGCCAGTGACACTCACCACTACTATATACTACATCACTTTCCTTGATAGAACATTATATTCTACATACAACATGCAATAGAGGTCAACAAATCTCATATCAGTATATACCTAGATTAATAAAAAATCAACCGAGCTTTTTTTATATCCTTATTTGATTGAATGAAAAATTATTCTTTTAACCAATCACTTTTTTTTTTGTTTTCCAGTTGTCACCAGATTGTAAATATCTACAGACGACAGTACATTTTGAGATCGGGCTGGAGAAATTCACGACAACTGGTCACCAGCTATTAGACCCTGGTTATACGGCTGTTATGACGTGGCAGGCATTAGGGAATGATGAAGATTTACCCAAATTTACTAAAGAACAAACTATAACATTAGATCATGTATGTTTCTGGATTTTTCATTTTTTCCATCAAAAAATTTCGAAATGATTACCTTATGAAACGAAAAGAATATCTTTTATTAGGTATGTGGACTCTCTGAAAGAGAAAGATAGTATCAATATTTTAATTTTGCTTTATTTTTTATGCCTCTTACAATCTGTCAATCAGCTATCAATGACTAGCTAGCTTAGTTTCTTAGCAAGGTGGATTGTTGTCTACTCGACCATTAAGCTACCATGTGTTCAACTCCCCTTGGAGGTAAGAAGATTCTAATGCCATTGCCAGTGCTTCTGAGAGTAAACCATTTGTAGAATTTCCACACCATAGTGTCATTTTGAGCCAAATTCTGAGATTTGTAAGTAAAATTTACTAAAATTCTGTTCCTTTTTATTTCAGGCCAGATTATCAGAGAGACAGACGTCACCCCCAGATTATCTGACAGAGGCTGAGTTAATCTCGTTGATGGAGAAAAATGGAATCGGAACTGACGCCAGTATTCCAGTACATATCAATAATATCTGTGAGAGAAATTACGTGAATATTATATCTGGTCGTAAACTAAAACCTACTCCACTTGGTATAGTACTAGTCCATGGATATCAGAAGGTACATTATAATTTTATATGTCTTGTGTGTTTTTTTTGTACTTTTTTTTTACATGGATGAAAAACAGACTAATTACAATTAGTCCAAAATTCATATGGTATTTATATTAGCTTTTATATTTCCCTAACCTCCCCAGTGAGGGTCTAACAGCTTCCTTCGTAATTTCTTTGTACGAATTACCTTTGACCTAACATGTTGACCCCTGCTTTAACCAAGCAAACCACACTGGGCTACTTCTGAACAGCCAATGAAAAAGCGTGTTTCAAAATTGTTCGACACAATGTTCAGTTTCAGTAGACTTGATAAACTAGTCTAAGACTAGAGAAAATACTTACTTTTAGATTGTACTGGACAATGTCCTTGTCCGAACGCTTATTTCAAGTCTTGATACACAATAATCAAATTTGCTGATAACCAACGTTTTGTCATTTAGATTATTGTATTATTTTTTATATTATAATTTCAGATAGATTCAGATCTAGTTTTATGTACAATGAGATCTTCTATAGAACAACAGTTAAACCTGATTGCCCAGGGTAAAGCCAACTTCTTTGACGTTAAACAACATGCTATCGACATATTTCATAGAAAATTTAAATATTTTGTGGAGAATATCAACGGAATGGATCAGTTGTTTGAGGTATCGTTCTCTCCCCTGGCTGCCATTGGAAAACCTTTTACAAGGTGAGTAGAGATATTTATGTTTTGCCAGTTTGTTTGGATTTCGGGTTTCTTTTTGTAGTTGGGCTCGTTATTACTTGGTTTATTTATTCATATTTTGATGCATCTTCACAATGTCAAGCTATAATGAACTATGTCTAAAACTTTGTCCTTGACCTTGGGCTCTTTTCTTGTACGATGGAAGTTTTTAAATGTAGCGACTTTTTTGGAATGTGTGCAGATCACAGATCGACATAAGACTGTCCACTTAAAAGACCATTTTGAGCCCAAAAAATAAATCAGCTTACAGTAATGTATCTTTGAGTGTATAGTGCACAGTTTAAGAAAAAAGGGCTTGCCAAAACTGGGGTGTGCATACAGACAGTGACAAAAATTTAGAATTTTTACCGGTTTTCAAGATTGCCATTTTGTAATTGATTGCTGATTGTGGAAGGTGCTAACATAATATAAGACCATTCAACATAACAATCATATCAATGTCACAATATGTATGATGAGGTGTTTAGTGACGTCAACATAGTCTATTCATTCATATGTGACCCCGCAATTCGTATCAGATATTAAGTTGCACTGCCTAGTAATAAGCTGGCAGTGAAGTATTAAAGGTGACTCAAATCTGGATAGACAATATCTTCTGAACGGAGAAAGTCATTGAGATGGAATTGGTATCAAAATGTAGCTGATGATGCCAGGAATTAAAATATACTAATAGCTCTACATACACCAAATGCTACTTAATACCTGGTTTGATGTGTGGAGTCACATATGACATTGCCATCTTTTCAATAGATGACGTAATTTGTGTTAAAAAAAAGGCATGAATAAGTTATATATTATTATATATTGTTGTTGTATTTTAAGGTGTGGTAAATGTAGAAGATATATGAAGTTAATTCCAGCCAAACCGAGTCGATTACACTGTGCCAGTTGTGACGAGACTTTCACTCTACCACAGAACGGAAATATCAAACTTTATAAAGAGTTAAAATGTCCCCTGGATGATTTCGAACTTGTTTTATGGTCAACTGGTCCCAAAGGAAAGGTAGAAGTGTTTTCATTTTTTTTTTTTCATTTATAAATAAAACAGCATCAGCAGGATTTTTCATTTTTTTGTAAATGTTTATTAACCAATCAGGTGACTGGAACCAGGTATATATACCTCTTGATAATTATTATGCACATAAATAATGACACTTGATTGGATGACAGATGTGTCAATATTGTTGAAATGTTACCCTATTAAGCAAGACTGTAGGCAGGGTTAACTTAGTCACTCTGTGTAAATTTGTAGTCACTCTGTCAATATCCCCTATTAAACAAGACTGTAGGCAATGTTACAAGCTTATTGTTTCAGTATTCCCTATTAAATTTAAATTTTGATTGAATGTATTTTCAGTCCGACCGACTGTGCCCATATTGACATAATCAACAAATGTTAATTATAATTTTAGGCAAGGTTATTATGTCATTCTGTCTATATTTATTTTCAGTCCTACCCGCTGTGCCCGTATTGTTATAATAACCCACCGTTTAATGATATGAGAAAAGGTATGGGCTGTAATGAATGTACTCATCCTACGTGTGCACATAGTTTCTCTAAGAATGGAGTATCAGAATGTGTGGAGTGTGATCGAGGAATTCTCGTCATAGATCAGTCTTCTGGTCCGAAATGGAAGATGGCTTGTAACAAGTAAGTATAGCAGGGCTGTTGATTTGTTGTATTTTCCAGACATGACCGGCAAACCGGTTCAAATGCCCGTTTTTGGCAAAGATCTATGAGTTATGAACTATAGGTTGGCTAGGTTAGAAGTAGTATACCATAAAATTGTGATCTCTACACCTAAGCGTAGCACCCTTATACCTTATCTTATGTTGTCACTGTCAGGGTATCAATACAAATCAATCACTGACTATTGGTCAAGACAATTAACGAATAATCAAATATCTCATTAATTACTTCTCAAAAGCTAAATAGTACAGTCAAGCAAAAATATTTCTTTCGAAGTGAGTCTTGTCAATAGGTTATTTAAAGCAAGATAATGCTATTTTTGATTTTTTAAATGTTTTATAACTGAATGTTGAGCCGATTTCACAATTTCAAATCCTTTATATTTGCAGATGTAATGTTGTGATCCATTTCCTAGAACATGCTACTAAAATATCGGTACAGGAAGACACGTGTGATTGTGGCTCTAATCTGATTGAGGCTACATTTACTAAGGTAAGTTACCAGGCTTTCAATTGAAAAAAGGATATATCGCTCGAGTGGGACAATAAACCGAGGCCCTGTGTGCTACTGGCCCACCTGGATATTGAAAAAGAATAGACTAAGAATTTCCTCATTGCACACTGCTTGGCATTCCTGGTCTTCGTTAGCCCATTCATTTCATGCTATTGAATTAACCAACAACTACCTAGTTTGCGATATCAGCATCCGCTGGAAGCGAACGTTAACTTGTCATCTCTAACAAGCAAGCAAGCAAGCTATTGAATTATGTCATGAATATAAAGAGTTCTCATTGGTACAGCTGGAACTTTAATTTCACATAACGCACATTAAAATGTTATGCAAGAAATCTGCTGCATGAATATTCTTTCGTTGGGCTGAAACCTTTCACAAATTTCGTGTCATGGGTACACAAATGTTTCTGATTTTTGTGAAATAATTGGCAGAATTTTACAGATTTTGTTGTCATTTTTCAGGCTAAATCCAAACTACCAGATAATGCTGAAGAACATACAGGATGTGTCTTCTGCGATCCTGTTCTTAAACCTCTAGTCGAAAAACATCACGCTACTTCCTTCTTCCAGAATCGTGGAGGCCGTGGGGGAGGGGCTAGAGGTCGGGGTGGGAGAGGACGTGGAAGAGGAGGGAGAGGTCGTGGTGCTCGAGGGGGACGAGGAAGGGGCAAACCAAAAGATAAGATGTCACAGTTAGCTGCTTATTTTGTTTAGTTAGAAAATTGAAATGATTAAATTAGAAACTAGAATTATATTTTTTATGGCAATCTGATTCATATGCAAATTGGCCTGGTATTCTCAAAACAATCTTAGCGCTAGAGTGTCCTAGAATCAATGTTAGAAGATAAGAACTTAGGACATCCTAGCGCTAAGATCGTTTCGAGAATACGTGGCCAGTTTTCCTGTATTCAAAGTTGGCGTTGCTGTTAGTTGTCAACCTTGACTGGTAGAGGGGAGGGGGGGATCGGTAACTTTCACCTGAACCCAGAAATAATACCTCGACATAATCAATGCTTTTCTTGTTTCATGAAATGAACCCATTTGATTGGATTGTACACTAGACTATATGGCCAATCAAATCTATTAACAGAAAGACTGGAAATTATCCGTTCTCGTTTACATTTCCTTTCTAATAAGGCTTTTGAACTCTCACAAGGGCAATGGATCATTTATTTTACGGACATGTTATTCGACTTTCAAACGAAAAAGTATCTTATGATATCAAGGTATTAGACTGAAGTTTGTAGCATTGGGCATTTAATTCGGGTGAAATAACCCACATGAAAGTCCCTTTAACGCTCTGCAACATATTCAGCCTTACGGAAACTGCCAAATAGGCAGTGTGTAGAAATCAAAATCATGTACTGCACAGAGATGAGGTGTCAAAGGTCTCAGCAACAGGAGAAAGGATAAAGGCTCCCTCATCAGGCCATGATCAATGCTCCAATCAGAAAATTTGCCAGGACAGTAGCATTGAACCTTTTTCCCCAAATCCCCAGGGTCAAAGGGTCTCATATTGCTCTATTACAATTTTTATCTATTACTAAGATCAGTAGCATAAGGGGCCTGTTTATTTTCTGTCTGAACTAGCATTTTTTTTTGTCTAGTCCTCTAAACTGCATCACTGATGAGGGGAAACTTGATCTAAAACCCCAAAAAGTATCATCAGGACCTATCCCAGTACTGACTCTGAGCACCCCATGTACCGGGCATCCAACTAATAGATCTACCCCAATTCTCAAAGTTAAAAATATAAAAATACAGATTGAATCAAGAAAATTTTATTTACAAGTAAAAAAATCTTCATGACTTCTTCCATCACCAGATTTACTCCTGAAAAATACAACGCAAACTATTTTAAAGTACTGATATCAAAATAGTTTTCGCCATCTAGATATGGATGTCAAGAGCAGTGCTTCATGAGGAAAATTTAGCCATTAGCCTAATTCTAAAGAATTGACAATCAAAATTTACATCAAGAATTATATTCAGGACAGAGTTTTGGCACAAGATCTGCACGATGTTAAACACTCAGTAGGCCTGTCCTGGGGTTTTCAGTGGTATGCATCATTTTGAACAGGCACATCAATCTTCTGTTGAAGATATACACATCCTATGCTTCATAGATTTGCATCATTTAAATTTTTCGAAAACTAATCTGCCAGGGATCAAGTTTTGAATCTTGTCAAAGGCTAAGAATACACATCCTATGCTTCCTAGTTTGCACAATTTAGAAGAACCAAGCATGGCTGTCTAATGGAGTTTAAGTTTTGAATAGTCAATCTTGTCAAAGACTAGGTAAACACATCCTATAGCTTCATTGTTTTGCATCATTCAAATCCACTGGATCAAGTTTATAATGTACTCGAATACTAGGATATACATCCTGCAGCTGTATTTACATCATTTTTAACATGCACAACAATGTCCAAGGGCAAAGGGTTTCAATATTTTTGAATATATTTGAAGACTTGGCATACTTACGTCTGGAATTTCAACCTCCCCAGCATCAATATTTTCTATGACTGTATGTGGATGAGATTTCTCGATGGTACATCCTACTGATTGTGCTGTACCTACAAAATCAAATTAGAAATTGTAGAATTGAGGTCAATGGTCGCCAAACTGATTTAATGAAATGCTTCCAAAAATTTTCTGGACCTGATTGGGAAATTGCAATGGTCATGCAGTGCACAATGAGAACAATTTCACCATGACAGCAGCTAAACCTGTTTTTTTTTTTCTTTCCAAATTTGGCTTTAGTTTATCGTCCTATCAATGACATCTTTAATTTGATCAATAACATCCACTTTGCTCTGTGCAGTTTTAATTCATTTGAAGCTATGAACCAATCAAATGACTGGAAAACTAAAATCAGTCTTGAAACCATTGCAAGGACCTACTTACCTAGAATTTCTTTAACGGTACCAGCAAGAGATTTAGCCATACTTCTATGTTTCATCTGTCGGGCAATATTGATAATATCTTCTAACGTCAGGTTACCACTGTGTTTCACTGAAATATTAAAATTATTGAGAGATATTCTCACAAAAATGAAACTTTAGTTCCATACAAAGAAAAATTAAGTGTCCTTTTTGGGATTAACCCTGTCTCATCTGTTTAGTTTTGAAACCATACAGATGAACTTCAGTGGCAAAGACTTTCAAAAGGTAATATTTTGATAAACCAATAAGAAGATAAATACAGGCTTCCAATTTAGGAATCAAGATCTACCAAAATACTGCCATATCATGATTATACACTAAGACTCCATATCCCCAGTCCTAGTCATTTCCTTCTACTTACCATTTTTAACCTTCTTTCGGTCTCGTGGTGGTTCTTTCAAAGCCTTGATAATCAGAGCAGCAGCACTGGGAACGACCGAGACTTTAGCCTGTCGATTCTGGATCGTTAATTTGACAGTAATTTTTAGTCCCTTCCAATCTGTTGTTCCTTTTGCAATGTCGTCACCAATTTTCTTGGGAGACTGAAATAGATATGTTTATATTTAGATTTATTGTAGCAAGACGGACAAGGACTTCTTTTGAATACTTTTTTTTGGGAACAAACTTGATTTTTTTTTTAGAACTTGTGCTCTAACATTACCTCTGAAGATTAGATTTTTGATTAAGTTCATTTTTTTGTTGTACATCAAATCTTTTTTAAGTCCAGAAGTCCTGTAAGCTTAGTCAGTAGGATAAATACCAGAAATGTAAGGTAAAAAGTAAATTGATTTTTGTTTCATTCACATGGCTGCGACGATCGCTTTGTAATTCAGTGAATTGTGAAATTATATCTATGACGTTATTGTCATTACTTACCAAACCCATGGGACCAATTTTAGGAGCCAAGGATGCTGTTGCTGGGACTTCCCCTCCTACAGCTCGGACAAAAACTGAAATTTACCAAATACGGGATTATTTCAAGGGACCTAGTCAAAGTGTAAGAACTTGATATACAAACGTATATATTACTATTTCGGTCAAATCAAGGGACAGATGTGGATGATAGAGACTCAAATCAATAATTCTACTAACGACCAAATCATACGACGACACATAATGACATATTCAGGTCCATTTTTAACTCTGATAATTTCAGAGCCAGATTGTGTTTGTTCTTGTCAAGAATTTGTGCTTGATGATGCTCATTTTCAGAATGTCTCATTGCACACTTCATAATGTTGCCCATCTTCATTGGCCCAACCATGCGCACAAAAAAAGCAAGGCGTTACAAACTCTCAATCATCGACTCGATCAATCCGTCAATTTCAAGAATAAATGTGTGAATATTGCCTACAATTCAACTGGACACAAATTTATTTACAAAAAATGTCGGGTTTCTTGAAAATCATAAATATAATATGTCAATTTCTTCAATATTCAGACCTGAATTTCCTCATCTCATCGGCAAGAAGTCATCCGCCATGATGGTAAAATCTTCGCGAGGCATGGCCCTCGACTTTCATAGCTGAAAATGAATGTTTTTTGATAGCTTACTTTCATGAATAGCATTTGGATCGAATTTTGGGGGCATTTTGGTACTTTTGTGTTAACTTCAATATCTAATGTTGACGAATAAGTGTTGGATGAGCCTGGATTGGCACGACCAAGGACAGTTGCACCTTCCGTCAATGTGGACGAAGAAAAAGAGGGCGTTATGGGTTCGCCAAGGGCAGATAATCGAAATTTTTATGGACAGCTATTTTCAGAAAAATAATTATGCAGTGCGAACTGTTCACTTACTCACTTACCTGCTTGAAATTTCTAACATTTGATTGAGGAAAAACCTAAATATTGAAAAGTTATTTTCATTCTGGCACTTACTCATACTATTTGCCGTTAGTTGCCATTTTGAATGACCCAGGATGGCTATTGGACTTATTTTATATCTACCTCATTGATTATATTATCTTAAAGGATCTAGGATGGTTATTTGGCTCATTTTATGTCCACCTCATTGATTTTGTCACCTCTAATGATTCAGCAAGTTAGACTTAAAATCCATTTCATTTCATCTGAATAATCCAAGTTTGGTTTGGATAGGTACAGTGGCGGGGCCAGGTTTTCGTCCGAGGGGGGCGAAATATCTGAGGTTGCCCGAAACATCTGAGGCTTACTCCTCTGCCCCCCCCCCTTTTTTTTAGCTCCGCCACTGGATAGGTACAGGTTAAGCAGACCATCTCCTCGATTTTGGTACAGGATATCTATTTAATGCATTTGCCAATCACAATACTTACGTCGGTCAATGTAACCGAAAAAAATCAATAAGGTACATTGACTTATCAAAAGGGTTTATCATTATCTAAATTTTATAAAGGCTAAAACAGGACATTCAATGAAAAGTATTTGCGGAGAATTTATGCAGATTCCGCAATATTTCTTGTAAAAGGTCGTTCTTAGTATAACTGGATGTTTGAGGTCATATGAATAAAGAATTTAAAGTATTTCAATGTTGAAATATTTGAATGCATACGAGTTGTTGATTACGTGCCAGATGACACAGATTTTAAAATCAATATTTAGGTGTAGAAAGTTCTCCATAAATCATACCGGGAACTTCTCTTGAATTTTCTACGTCATCCTGGAATATTCTCAGTTACTAAAAATAGAATAGAAACAGGACCAGGAAATAATATCAAAATTATCAATGTTTTATTCACTTATGTGTTCTGAAATGAATTATAATGTAAAATATGGTTGTCCTTTATCGACATTGACAGGTGAAAAGTCAGATTACGTGACATTTACTTCATATTAAAAATATCAAATCGTCTGATGCAATGTCTGAAAGTTGACACACTTTTGTCATGTATCTAGGTCACATATTAATACGCGAGAAATTTATGTAAATGATCCATTCATCATTTCCCTATTTTTGCAAAATCTTATTATGAAATGTATTTTGAATTTTCAAATTAGATTTTCTTCCAATTCCAATATTTCTGAAGTAAACGAGTATGAATTGTAATTTTGATATGGGAACTATTTGATGTAGTGTTAGGATAGCAGTAACTAGGTGTAATCTAAAAATAGAATTGTTCCGGCATGACACATTCTAAATTTTACAATATGTTTACAGTTACTACAGATACAAGGCGCAATTTATTTTAGAAATTTCCGAGTTTTAAAGATGGAAAATGAAACCAAACCAAGAATTTTAAAAAGTTTTGAAGTTGTAGAATTAGATACAAGTGTTGAATCATCCAGTAATAGTCACCTAATTTGGAAAAGTTATTCTATTTTTATGGGACAATTTGGCGGAACACAAAATATAAAGACCACCATTATTATAAAACACCCACATTTCCTCATGGACTCAAGTTGTGATAATATGTTAGATTTTGAAGACTGTGCTAATGGTTTGACACCCTTGTGGTATTAAATATTCAAAAATATGGAAGTTTAAATGTGCTGAAATATTTCGTTGAATTTTCAAACGGATTAAAATCGGAGCCAATCATTATGTGGTTCAAAAATTTATCAAATTCTATTAATAATACTTTAAATAGACCTTCGAAACTGTTACGATTAGACAGTACAGGGGAGACAACTAAAGAGAACTGCGATTATATGCCAACGATTCAAGTGATATCTTCACACATCCCCAAAAACGTGACAGCGAAAAAATCGTGTTTTGATTTTTCACCTCAACAACCTCCGTGGTCATTAGGTTTAGTGAATAATATGGGTTCATGTGGATTTATGAATAATTTTTCTGGTAAATATCGCGGTAAAGAAAGGGAAATAATAAGAAAAGAAGCAGAAAACGTGAAAATGCCGATCGAAAAAATGAGAAAGGCTGAGGTAGAGACTCGTTCTTGCAGTTCTTGGCCAAACCATGAAAGAACATCAAAGATGCATCAAAATGGATTTTGGACAAATCCAAGAAACTTTAATTCTTTAAAAGTTCCAGCAGACTCACCCTGGTTAAAAGTCAATTCGGGGTATTTTCAACCCCACAAAGGCAGCTATAATAATTATCATTCCCATTTTTGGGGATCAAGGAATAATTTTTGTGATAAAAATAATAGTTCTAATCATAGAGTTAAAACAAAGCATAAAAGACTTCCAGATGAAAACCCAAAAACTGTGCGAAATACCTCGAATCATTCCAGTGTGGAACCTAAACCTCTAGTGTGTGATGTTGGTAGTAAGGGTTTTAGTGAAGTGAAACCAGTGATTAAAGACATTAGTTCAAGTATTTCCCCAAAACCTACAGTTAGTGATGTGTGTAGTAAATCAGGAAGCGAGATTTCTCAAGAAAATGCTTGCTTTGCTAATGAAAACAAACTTGTTCCTGTTGTTAAGGAAGTTGAAGTTGGCAAGGATCCAAAAGCCTCTTGTGAAATTGAAAGTAGAGTTCAAAAATGTCCTGATGTTATAAATGTTAGCTATTCAATAGATAGTTGTGTGGCAGACCTTTTTCAAGATGTCGAATCAACTTCGAAAGAAACTGGAAAATTTTCAAATTCAGTGTGAACCAAACAGTCAGCAAATTAGAATTACCGAAATGGCCACCCCAGCCTCGGTAACAATCCCAAGTGCAATTAACTGTCAAACGTCCAGTCAAAGTTCCAAACCTCAAATTCATTTAAGCATAATCGGTGGTAAATGTCAATCAAAGCAACAGACTCCTCCCAATTCTGTTTGTAGCCAATCAAAGATTAATCAGGATTGTCAATCAAATCGGACTACACCTACAGATTCAAACCAATCCAAACAGAACTGTGATTCCAAGAGTGCTCAAGAAAAGAATTGTTCTCTTTGTATGGCTTATATGAGTCGAGTGGACCCGAAATGTACAGAATTTCCCAAAAGTGCTGGTTGTAACCATTCCATCATTTTACTCCGAGTTCGTGACACTCCAAAGAAAACCAAGAAACGTAAAAACCAGAAAGAAAAAACAGACGTCAATAAAACATCTCCTTCATCATTCATCGTTGGTGTGAATTCATCAGACAGTCCTGAAAATTCTCACATTTTTCAGTTCATTTCACATGACAGTGAATCTGATGATTCATGGGATAGCTTTGATGATGATGAAGATGAAACGGATTCCGCTGCTTGTGATTGGTCGAAATTAGAAATGGATAAACTGTTTCCTGGTAGCAATGGTTTATTTAATCCAATCAAATTTAATGTCCATATTTCTCAGTCTGATTCCGAGACCAGCGACTCATCCAGTCCGACCAATAATTATCTAGATTCCATCAACCTTTCCTGGAATATTCATATAGTTGAGGACCAATCAAAAGATTCGACTTGTCGGAAATCAAAAACGCAGAAAAAGGTAGTTGTCAAATGAATTTATGTTAGTCACATATTCTGAAAACGATCTTAGCACTAGGATATCCTGGAAACAGTGTTAGAAGCTAAGACCCTAAAATATCCTAGTGGTAAGATCGTTTCTAAAATACGCCGTTTATTTCTTATGCCAGTTTCAGATGTCTTGGATTTTCTTCACAGAATCTAACAAAACACTAACTTTTAAATGTCATTATGAGTAAGACCTGACTGGCAAAATACGAAAAAAGCTAAATCATCATCCCTTAAAAGTATAAATATCTGTGATAATTGTATTCCAAATTGACTCAATTAACCTGACAGGAAAATTAAATGGCTGAATTATGCCAATCACTGTCAGTATTAGTATAATATGCTACACAGCGGTGACAAGGTCATGTTCTATCTACTGTAACTAATACTGATTTGATATTGGAATTGTGGGATTGGTACTTTCTTTGAATTATCGTTGTAATTGAAATATTTATAAATATTTCCTACTGGATTGGATGTAACAGTGACCACAGACCACAAAACTTAATAATGTATTATTATGACAATAATTGGACTGGAAGTATTAAAAAGGAACCTGAAACATGTTGTTACTCAGTGTTCCTTGTTATGCGTTGTCTGAAACTCAGTTTCAGTTTCAATATTTCTATAGCACTCTTTTAACAGTGAAATTATTTTTCTTATTATATCTTTCAGGTTCGATTTGAAGAAGGAGAGAAATTAACTACAGTTTATCAGATGGTGGCGTGGTCGTTTGCCTACAGAGCAAGTCGTAAAGGTCCTTGGGAACAATATGCTCGAGACCGAGAAAGATTTCAACGAAAGATTCGCGATTTGGAAGAAGTTTTGTCACAGATTTTAATAGACAGTCATAGATCTAAGATTTTTAACTCTCTATGTGCGAAGACTGATTAATTATAAATCGTTATAGAGTTGTCCCCCTTTTTTCTCCCCGCAATTTACAATTTTTATCCTATTCATTGTATCTAGAACAGGAGGCTGTGATATATACTGACCATAACTGAAGAATTGTAAAAGAGTAAGCTTACCAATATCATGGTATGGGTTTAAAATGACCACATTGTACACTGTTAGGCGTTGCTAGTCTTAGGAATAGAAGATTCAGAATGTAAGCAAGAAGTGGGAAAAAATACTGATTTTGTTCTTACTTGCACAGAATTCTGAAGCAGCTTACAAAACAGCTACAAAATTTGATGCACAAACTAATTTTTTGGGAAGCACTAAAAACAGAAATGCTTAAAAAAAAGGAAAGATATCCACATCATTGTGGTGTTACCAGAAACTTATAATGGTTAATTGGTATTTTTCATACATTTTAACTATAGATTAACATTTTTAATCAATGGAGATTTTACAAAATATGACACCTGCCAACATGTAAAATTTCAGACTAACAACATGTTTCAGGTTCTGTTTTTATATTTTAATTCAGATTGTACCTAATTCAAGCCAAGATTTGCTACTAATATTGCAAAATAATGGAATTTTTTTTTGTGCCTTATTTTTTTTTGTTATTTGAATTAAATTAGGATACTATAGTGATTAATAGCTTCAGATTATAGTTTTTAATTGGGATCTTATTTAGGATTTTAAAGGTTGTTTTGTTTCTGAATGACAATATTAATATGGTGTAAATGTTGACTGTAAATATAATGATTAAATTATTCATGTTACTGATGTGCATTGAGTTTTATTTTGTACTTGAAGCATTTCAACTGATATTGAGTAAGGGAGTTGAGTTAATGATGGGTTTCCTTATTTTTTAGTGTCAAATCAAGCAAACTATTTGATTAATTGGTATTTCTAATGAATTATCATGTATTCTTAATCATATCATGTAGATCTTATTGCATATAATTTAAGTTTTAACTTATCATAAATGTCCATCTATGTACAGTCTGGATAAACAAATGAAATTCTGCTGTTAATTCTCTAATTATGAATTAATTATAGACAAGTGAGACAAACTGGTATTTTTCAAAGTCATTAGAATACCTGTACTTTCTATTTATATAAGTATTAGCATTGTCACTTTCATAAATGAAAATAAGGGAACGCATCTTTAAAGCACTTCAATTTATATGACAACATTTGGAAGGGAATGGGGGTTGAATTGCAGAGAAATCGCATCCTGTGTTAAAAAAAAAGCATTGAGCTGATGGCTTCAGGAAATGATATATTCAGTAGTATATCTCCATGATAATCATTTTCACACATTGAGCTTGGATACATTCTTTTTATTAATTTCACTAATTGTTAATCCTGTGACAGACGTTCATTTCTTAGACTGCCTAAATGATACAAGAATATAATAAAAATATGTTTATATTTACAAATAATATTAAAATTTATACATGGTTAAGAAGTAAAATTCAGCATTTACTAAAACATGATTCACTTAAAAACAAATTTTCTTAAAATAAAACATGATTGTTATTTCTTCCAATAGTAGGGTAAGGCAAGAACACATTAGGACAAAATGAATTCTTCTTTCAGTTTTTGTCTTGTCTTGCATGCTGTTGTGTTTTGTTATCACTCCACAACAAATTTGAGAAGAACTTTGTAAACTGTTGATTGCCTCTGATTGGCTGGACCTTGAATTTAAAATCACTGTCACTTTTCTGATTGGCTGAAACTTATATTTGAGCTCATCTTACTAGTTCTGATTAGCTGAATCTAAAAGTCAAATTCATTTAACTTGTTCTGATTGGCTGAATCTAAAAGTCAAATTCATTTAACTTGTTTTGATTAGCTGAAACTTATCTCTGAGCTCATTTCGCTTGTTCCAATTGGCTGAATCTAAAATTAAATTCCTCTGATCTGGTTCTGATTTGCTGAAACCTTGATTTGAATTCATCTTACTAGTTCTGATTGGCTGAATCTAAAATTCAAATTCATTTAGTAAGTTCTGATTGGCTGAATCTAAAATTCAAATTCATTGCACGGATTCCGATTGGCTTATATTAGATTGTGTTCCGCCCACTTCATATTGACAGTTGGCCAGCTCTTCATGATGACGTCGTGTTGATAATAATTCAAGTTCGAATTTGTCCATGGCTCGTAGAAAATTATCGTCCTTATGGATTTTTACATTCATGGCATTAACCTGAAAAATATGATAGAAAATAGTCTTGAATCTGCTAATATTATAATATGGTGTAAAAGGAGTACCTTCACTATCCGTTCGACCAATCATACTTTAGTTTCAGAAACAGGAATTTTTTTAGCTAATATAATCAGTAATAGTGTTCACAGCTCATCGTCGAAATTTGAGCCTTCAAATCCATATGTATCTATAATTATTCACGTTTGAAAGTTAAAAATTCGACTCGAATAGTGATACTATGCCATATATAGAAAACACATATATAGGAATAGACAGTGAAAGTTCTAGTTTGAGGTATATTTGAAGGGACTGTTCCCTTTAAGGGTGTTGAAATTTGAGCCTTCAAATCTATCTGTGTACGGAACTATCTGCATTTCAATGACAGAATGACGACTTGTCTTTTCTTAAAACTCTGCCTTATACAGATAAGACATGTATAGAAAAAGAAAGTGATTTTCTAGTTTGAAGTATATTAGAAGTTATGAGATTTTCAATCACATCTGAAGACTATTTACAAAGACTCATATCAGCCCCTTACAATGGTGGGCCATAGCTTTTAAGCTATATAAAAACTATAAAAACATGTCACTTCACATGAATTATTGAACCTGTACTAGACTCAGATATCTTGATTAGGTGAGAAGTTCAGTTTATAAACAAGAAAATATATATTATATAATACAAGCTAAGGGCAATTAATCATGATTAATAATTCTCATGACCTTTTAACTCATGTTTGACCTTTGACCTTTAAACCTGATGAAACATGACAGGAATATGACAAATGTTTTAATCATATTTGTTAATCAACATGATCGACATTAGACCAGAATTAACTCAGAGAACATGTTGATTTGACTGCATTTACCGGTCGTGTCTGACAAGAGTCTCAAATTGACTGACTGAAAATGGTCTTAAAGGGATTGTAAAGAGGTTTTCTAAAAATTTGTATGTATATCAGGGACACTGATAGCATTGATTTGAACCAATCCTCTTTTCATTCAGAAGTCTTTAGTTCTTGCACTTCCACTAAAAGGTAACGTTTTATGACGCCACTATCGCGAAAATCTGCTTACATCATATAAGAACCTTTTGCAATCGTGACTTAGTGGAATTGCAATAACCACAGATGTCTGATTGAAAATTAGAATTGTACCAATCAATGCTATCAGTGTCCCTGATTTACATACAAAATTTAGAAGACCTCTTTACAATAGTTTTAAGGCATTATATGTAATAAAAACAAGTAAACTAACTCAAGATTTTTTTAAAACATTCAAAAGACCTTGATCTAGTCAACCCACAAATCATGTATTACAACATGTTTCAACAGACTATCTGTTATCTTATCAACTCAACTAGGTGGGAGTAGGTTAAGGCTATCTTTCAGAGAGTCCATGTTGATAATAAAATTGGTTTAGTAAATTATAACTTTGTAAAACTGTCATGTAGACAAGTAAAACATGTTTCAATAAATCACTCGGAGAAAATTGACATAAACCTTTCTTAACTGAAGTCCATTAGTAATAATCACATGGAGAAACCGACCTATCCAAATCACAATACATTTTATTTTAGAACTTATCTCATGCTGCTGACACATGTTTCAGATACACAATCCTCATCAGGAAAGCTTGTTTTAGGAGTGGCGGTTAACTTCTGATATAGGACTAGAACTCATCTCATGCTGCATACAGGTGTTTCAAATATGCAATTCTCATCAGGACAGCTAGTTTTTTTTGGGACTTGACTGTTAATTTTCAATTACTTCAAAACATAATTAAATCTAACAGATAATTTTCTGGCAATTGTCCAAAATTCCTGGTCACAAGATAAATTTGTAAATCAAAATGACGACAAAAGTAGAGAGGTTTCATCAGATAGAAGCATAAGTTACTATATTCAGAAACAAGACCTTAGACCTACAGTACATGTAAACATAAAATTCTAGGAAAATTGCCAAGGACCTGAAGTACATTGTGTGTACACACACTCTAATATAGGAAAACTGCCACATTCAAAACAAACACAAGTCTAGCCTATATAGTTTCAATTATTATTTTGTAGACTGCTTGAGTGTTTGTTTTAAATCTGACCTGGATCATCGTCACAACGGCAAGATATTATAAACTTCATCTTATACCTTGACATCATTAGGCTCTTGTCTTGTAACAAGGAAGGTTGTGATTTGATTGGATTGTATGCTAGAGAATACAGCCAATCACAGCCCTCGACAGAAAGATTGTACATAGTCAATATGGCTTCACTAGCTTAGCTGGCCTGACCAATCAGATTCCACGCATACCTCAGACTTGATATACGGCTGGGATATAGCACGTTTAGGGCCAGATATAAAAATTCTCAAAAACTGAAAATGGATTGGAACAACTCCCAAGTGACACTTTATGTCTGGCCTTAAAATTTCTGTAAACCCGGTCAATTATCACGTCATGCATTAGAACTCAGCTAGTTCAGTTAAAACCAGACTTGACACATAAATAAATTATAAAAGTCTACTCACCAACTGAAGTAAAGCTGAAAAAATTCTACACACTTCATAATCACTGTGACCTCGTACTATTTTAGCAAATTTAATTTTAGATTTCGATGATAAACTATCCAGAATTTTTGTTCCATAGACATGAATATCAAACGGATCTCGTTGCTCCTGTAAAACAAAATTAAATCATTATTCAAAATTATTTGCCGCGAGTTTCTGCCCTTCCCCTCATCAATCTAGCCATCCGACATGAATTTTGAGTAAAATTTCATTGGAATGAAATTAAATGGAGTAATTACTCATGTATGATTGATATACTTATTCATATGATAATTTCATTAGCTGCTACTAATGTTTCCCCAATTTGTTTTGGATTTCTGGTTTTGTTTTGCAGTTTGGATTGTTCGTACTTGTTTTATTTATTGTCCTACATTTTTTCTCCTGTTTAGGCTAATGAGGACAAGCAATGGTATGCAGTGAGAAATAAGGGAAAATTACCAGGATAGCACGGAATCTACATAAGAAACAGTACAAACTAGACAAAACAAATGAGGGTTTGGCCACACAATGCAGTAGGCTATAAGGCAAAGTTACCAGGACAGCGTGGAATCTACGTATGAAAAATAACTAACAAACCTCCTGTTCTAAACGAGGTATAATTCTCTCTTCCCATTCTGCTACTTTCTGAGCTATTTCTGATGTATGAAAATTGTTACCACACGCCATAAACTTTTCCTGTCAAATATAAAATAGTCCTTTAGCATCATTTAATGGTAGAGATCACATTATATAACAGAACACAATTTTATGGTATAGTACATCTGTAGAAACGTGTATAATAACAATTATTTTACCTGCATCACTGCATAAATATGAAAAAATATGAAAGAATCAGATGGTATGATCACAACATATGCCTAGACTAAACACTAAATATCTAAATCTCAATCTCACTCTAACACTAACAAAGCAAGCTAGTTTCCTCCAGACAGGGAAAGTTAAAGTCAGTAACAGTAATAAAACTTACAATATGTTGTCTAGCTAGTTCTTCATAGCTAGTTAATTCATCTCTCTGTATAGTAAAATCATCTACAATATCAATATAGAATATAATATAGATAATGACCAGTTGTGACTCTGAGAGACTATTGCTCCCCCTAAAAGACCCAAGAATACAATATTTTGTGGAAATATGCATTGTTTTATTGTATAAAAGTAATATTATAGAAGAAATACTCTTTAAAATTACTTTAAATGCAGGATTTTAGGCCTGTTATTTTCAAAAAAATTCCTCTTTGACCCCCTCTAAGAATTTATTTGAAAAGTTTTTGTAACAGTACCTCTTGTTAATGGGAAGTAGTCATTTACCACTTTGTATGAATCTCGAAAATTCAGTACAGATGTGCTCCATATATAGATATATTTCAATAATCAGATCAATATCCAGCAATGTTACATCTAACTTGAGTTTCCACTTGAATATAGGACTTCTGATAACATCACAATAGACTTTATGATCACAAAGAAAGAAAGATTGAAATCTGACTTACGATTAGTTAATGGATCTATTAGAGGGAGGTCATCCATTACAGGTGGCGCATCATATCCATCATCATCATCGTTCTCTATACCAAATTCATTATCTATAACAATATATTAATAATAAGAAATGTTAGATTATAAGCTATCTGAACTCTCTGCAAAACAAGCTGAGAATGCTATTGAGACCAACATTTCAATCTTAAATTTAAATTCCAAATTCTTTTAATACAAATACATACTTCATTGTTTAATAATAATAAACTCTGTATTTTCTACATCATGAATGAATGAATGAAAATTATAAGAAGTTATTTTGCATTAACCACAAATCTTTCACAAGCAACAGCGAGTCTTTGTCAAACGCCATATCCTCAGCTACAAAGAACAATTAATCTAAGAAATAAAGGCCAGTGTGCTTAACTCGTTCAACGAAGAGAGTGATATTAGAAATTTAGATATTATATTTAGTAATATTTTTACCTTGAGGTACAATGTCTTCTCTGTCATTCTCAAACTCTTCCAACTGTTTAGAATTTAACGATCTCTGAAATATTATAAAAATCATCTGATTGTCTTTAAACAATGATTTTTTCTACATTCTAGAGTTTGCTTCATAAACAGAATTTTGAGGAAGTTTCGTCTGTACAAACTAATTAATAATCAGAAAACTGTCATCTTTAAAACTGTCATCTCATTTTTTAATTTTAACTGTCATATTCATTATGCTGTTAAGCATTTGTCGTTTTGGATGCTGACAATAAACCTCTTCATGCAGAGACATAGGCCAAAAAATCTACAGCAAAAATAATTTTTGAAAGTTTTCAAATCTTATAAGTGAAGAAATTACCAATAATTTTTTTTCTTTGGCCCATATTTCTTTTCTTCGTAAATGTTCCTTCCAGAACTGATTTTCTAACGCTGCGAATGTAGGAGCATTGAACGGTGTTTTCGTGTACTTCTCATGATGGGAAAAACCTAAAATATAAATAAATCAATAATTTTAAAAATTAAACAATGGCAGAAATTAAAGATAAAACTTTGTTTTAAAGAGCATGATAAAAAAGTCTTCTAATCTTTGTATGTGCTTTATGATCCTGTTTGAAAAAAATGGTCAGGCATTTCTCAGCGCAAAATTTCTACACACAATGTAAAATTCTTATCCTCAGATATTTTGTGAAATAGCCCCAGGATCATTAATGGCCTTCTATTTGCATCATTTCGATTTTTCACCAACATTTTTGAAAGAATTTTAAAATTTTCTTACATGTATTCTGTATAAACACTGATATAGGAACTCTAGTTTTGTCTGAAACATTTCGACGTTTTCGTTTCTTGGATGTTTCTTCTTCTTTTAACTCTGCTGGCGTTTTAAATATTTTACCTGAAAATATCATATAATAAAATCTAGACCAATATATATCCCATTAGATTGATGTTTTCTGTTTTTCTCTTGCTTATATCTTCCAAGAATTGTTAATTTTGATAAGTCAGTTATTAAAATTGAATTTAAATTGTATAAAGATCATTAAATAAGAACAATATTATATATATACTACTCCTTTCTTTAATTTTAACAACGTTTCAATTCACATGAATAATAGTTAAACAAATAAGAACAATATTATATATATACTACTACTTCCTTTAATTTTAACAACGTTTCTATTAACATACTGGAATCTTTATCAAGCACAAAATGAGAATGACAGAAAATAGAGAGAAAATGAAAGTATATAGATTAATCAGTTTTCTGTTTTTCAGGAAAGCCTGATTTTGTCCTGATAGTTAAATCTTCGAGAATCATGTTGTCATTTGATGTCTAACAAATCGATGTCTAGGGTTCCAATCTAGGCCGTTTTGTGAAAGTCTGGTGACCCTGAATAACTCATTTTCACCTATTATTTCAGTCAACTAAGCTGTAAATTGGTACAGATAAACCTAGAAGATTCCACCCCATATGGTTTTGCTCAGGACTCACAGAGAGCATTCTGGAAGTCTTAAACTCATAAATCTTTTATGAAATGTACCCACCTCTGCCAATATTTTTATCAAGTTTTTCCGAGACACTGTACGGATCTAACTCTACAAATAGTTCACTGAGCTACAAAAAAAGATTAAAAAATATTGAAAACAGAGAAATACAGTAAAAACTCTCTTAACTGCACTACTCCTGTGTACATGTACAACCAGAAATGAAATGAAATGAATGGAGTTTTACATTCTACTTTCTGCACCTTGTGGGCTAATGAAGACGGACAACGCCAGACAGGGTGCGATAAGGGAAATTTTGCCAGGACAGCGGCATTAGCCTGCTCTTTTTCGATTTCCATCTGTCGAGGGATCTTAACCTGCAAAGCCTGTAGCACACAGGGCCTCGGTTTATTGTCCCATCTGAACGACTGTGCGCTTTTTCCATGTCAGCCGCTCTCACCTGCATAACTGACAAGGGGAAACCGGGTTGAAAAATCCGAAGGTATCATCTCGACCTATGCTGGGATTGAACCTCTACAACCAGAATTCCCTCTATATCGGCAATTTGAAAAGTCTTGACCAACTTTCTTTAACTGTACTAATAGTTTCTATAAAATCTTTTTCAAACTTACTGGTTTTCTCTGGACGACATTTTCTACAACAGTTTTTCTAGGTCTTAATCTATCCTATAATATTAACAAAATGATCTCCATTATTTCATTTAAATGATGGAAGGATTCAAACCAATGGCACTTTATCGTCTAACAGATGACAATCAGACTTGCTACAACTCAGCTAGTTCACTGCCAGTTACCATAAGGATACAATCTTGAACTTGTTGTTTAAAGTGGAATCAAGATGACTTCAATCAGTTTTTATGATCTTTAATTTCCTTTTTAAGAACTCCTGCCTAATGTCTAAGAAAGAATCAAAACTGTTCTACTTACCCTAACTTCTGGTTGTTCTGGGGGTGGGGAATTTTCATCTTGATCATTGTCAAATAACTGGGGACCATCCACTGTAATATAAGTTTAAATAACCTCTCTGTAAATCCGTTCGGTTTATTTACATGTAATAGTTAGATCATATTAAGTAAAAAAATGTGTGGTTAAGAAGTGGGTGGAGGGAGCGAACATTATCTAATTTACTTAGAATCTAACGCTAGCTGTCAGTCAAATGCTATGTGATCACTTAATTGAAAATTTAGCCATGTTCTAAGTATAATAAGAAGATAATAGATGAAGCCAATGTGTATTCACTTGTTCTATTTTCTACTGTATTGATAATCTTGCACTGGAAATCATACCTTCAAGAATCTTTAGCCTGTTCCATAAGACTTACTTGAAACATCTGAAGGTGGTAATTCATTTTCTTCCATTGCTCCACCATCTTGTCCTCCCATGGTATTAGAGAGTTGTTGCCCTTGTTGGTCACCTGACTCTGTTTGTTTACTCGTATCAGAACTGTGACTTACTAATTCAACTGAAATAATAATATATTGAACTAATCAAGGGCAATAACTCTGTGGGTTACCATGCTTTCCAAGTTAATGGACTGAACAAATTTACTTGATAGGAATGCAAAGATTGTTTAAGATAATAATAGAAATACAGATGTCATATTCTTGTACAAGGATATGTTTTAAAATGTATTTAACTAGACATCTTCAATTGCATTTCACACGCGTTTCAGAAATACAATCCTCATCAGGACAGTTAGTCTTAAGAATAGAGGTTAAATCTTCAAGACACCCCAAACGGGAGTATTCTATATCTGAGATAAGAAATGACTTACTAGTAGCAGGTAGACGTAAAGATATACTTAATAAGTTCATATAACTAACATCTAATAACATGGCTCCTGTTTTATGAATATAACAAGTATTCATTTTAAAATCATCCCTACTGCCTAATACTTCACCCTTTTTACTGAAATACAAGAAAAAGATGTCAAGTTCACAAGCCTCAATACCAAATAAACAATATTAGTAATGAGAAAACAATCATAGGTACTGAATTAATGTAGGGTGTGCCTTGTTTTCTGAAATTTTACATATATTGTTGTTTCAATCTAATCTCATGTATAGTCAATAAAATAATGATTTTAACCAAAAATCTACTATTTATTATCTTGGTCCTAAGTGCATGGTTCACTTGCTGAAGTGACACACGGTAGAAATATTTAATAGTTTTGGACATGTTGAAGAGATGAGTAGTAGATGACTGAACTCTACTTTGATTTAACTGAATGAAAATAAAACTCCTCACCTCAATAACGGATTCTGACCCCGTTCTGAATTACCTAGAGGTATAATGGCTAACGGTGTTCGTTTTACAGGTAATATTGTCTAGAATAAAAAATATGTTTATAATAATAATCTCTATAAAAACATAAACATGCCATGCCGATTTGCCTGTCATGCCTTTGAGACTTGAAAAAAAACCACAAACTTAGCAATACTATATGTAACATACATGTATTATTTCATATGGTTGTGTATCAATATTTTACAATACCAGGATACGAGACATACAAACCATATTTCTATTCAAATATGAATACAGAAGAAATCAAAAGTAGCAGTTCATTCTGTGAATACATTGTATTATTTTATATACAGCACTGTACTATGGTTTATTGTGTTTAGCCCTCCATAGAAATTTCAAATTTTAATCTCACCTTGTCCCCTTCTCTCATTGTGATATTTTTACCCACAGGAAAATCATCCAGTGACAGAAACTGAAACAAAACCGCAATTCTTCTAATCAATATGATACAAATGATGACTTAAGAGGTAGTAAACTGGAGTATGCACATTTTTCATTATCATAAAGTTGTAAATTGGACAACATTCTGTAGATTTTGGTCTATAGTTTTAATTAATTCAAGCACCTTACTTATTGAACTAGACAAAAAAAAATTTAAGTTTAAAAGTCAACACAGAGACATTAAAGCAGTTTTTAAGATTCAAGAAAAAAGTTTTAAATTGTTAAATACCTCATCATCATCATCATCATCATGAAAATTATCTCCATCTCTGCCATCTTGATTCTGACTGTTCTTCTTTCCTTTATTTCTACAACACAAATATCAAGAAATAAAAACAGTATGGTACGTCTAGGTCTCCATAATATTCTACTTTTTCCACATGTGTTATTGTGCAGAACAGTAAGACGTAAGACTCCATTCATTTCACTTTCATTTCATTTCAGTAATTTGTGTAAAATTCAGCTTCATAGCAGAATACTAGTACCTACTTTTTATTGGATATGACATCCATGACTTGGTAAACTAAACTGTATAGATTTTCAACCTACAAATAAAATATTATATAATACACTTTTTAAATTTGGAGTTTTACATCCTAAGTTCCCAAAGCCTTTATTGTTACAATGTTGTACCTTCCTTCTGAAGACACTATGGATGTGGTACACTAGGTAAACTTGACCTCTTGACCTGTATTCTTTTGGAAAATCATTTGTATGTATGCCTAGGAGCTTAGCTCATAAAGGAGATTTTTCTTACCTTTTTACTATAAACGCAGGCTGATCCTTGAATTAACAGAGCTGCCTCGGCAAAATTCATGGTGGTTTTACCATCATCAAATGTAATAGTAACTTTATCCAGCTAAAATAGAAATTAAATTGATATTGAAAATCAAGAATTAGCTGGCTGCTAGCTTGTTATTGGGTTATGCAAATAAGATACGTTTTTTGATACAGTATAATATAGTAGTAGATCTGACCCTCTAAAAACATCGTTTAAAATTGTCCGAAAATGTCCGACTGAGAAAAAAATAAATCAACATTCCTGAGCTAGCATTAGCTAGGATAATGAATCAAATAAGCTTTCTGAAACTGTATGTCTTACTTTTGCTCCTCACTTAGAAATGAAATGAAATTGTGTTGTATGTCTTATTATTCTGCACCTGATTGGGCTAATGAGGTTAAGCAGAGCCATGCAGTATCCAGTGAGGAAAATTTTTTCAAGGTATCTTTAATGTACAGTCTGTAGCTTGTCACTCAGACAGACTGACTAATCAAATGACATAAAACTTAAACTTTCTGCTGTTTCAAAAATGTCACAAATCCACAAGAAATAACCTCAAGTTTATCTTACCTCATCTAAATAATCTGTAAGATAACTGGCAATGTCTACTTCCCACGACTTGGCTAAATCACGTATTGGTTGTAATAGATAACCAAATCTATCTTCTAACTCATTCTGGCTGCCTCTGAAATAACAAGCTCAATCAGTACCAAATCAAACAATAAAATATATTCAGTGGGGTTGATTTAGAAATCTGGGTTCCGTTTTCACAATATTTTTAAAACAGTAAGTTAACATAAGTGATAAATATATACATTCTTCAGAAAGTGATGAAACCCACAAAATTAGATTCACTAGTTATTACAATGGATACAGATATTAGAGATTAAAAATTGGTTTTGGTGACTAACCAATCAAATGACTGGAACACAAAAATACGTTACGTATTTTAGAAACAGCCCCAAGATCTCCATTACAGAAAAAAAAGTTTCAAAATGTGACATTGGATTAAAAGTTAGCAAAGAATAGATCAATCCAACCTTGTGAATGATTCGTTGTATTTAATGTTATTTTCATTTACTATAAGAATGGATGTATATGTACTAGAAACCTGAAATTTGGCCATGCTCATGTGGCCGCAATAGACAAGTTGTACTGTAGTGCCCCACCCCCATCATTGACATTTTGTAATTTTCTCTTCTCATTGAACTTTCTGTGTATTTGATTGACTCTACGTCAAGTCTATAAACTTATCTATACCCAGTAAATGCTCACTTACCCTGTCATTCTGTCAGATTCTTTAAAAACGTTGTTGATTTTTGTCAAATTGCAATTTTTTTTATCAAAACAGAAATTTTGTTCAAAATGTCAACATTAGAAAGAGCGCGCCATCATTAAAGCCAAAGAATTTCTAGCTGGTGATTGGCTGTACAAAGCCCAATAAATACATTATTGACCAATCAAATTTTGCAATGACGTCACCGTGACCTAGATTTCTCATTCACCATATTCATACGCTTAAGTCAACTTTTAATTTTTCTCTAATCCTTTTTTGATTTGGAATAATTCTTCTAATTCAATTAGAGAAAATCTAATATCTTTGATTCATTTACAAATCAAAATAAAACAATGGGATTAAGAAATCTTTATTTTTATTTCTTTCCAAGAACTATTTTTCTCCTGCTCGTAATAACTTCCGAGCACCGACTGAGTTATTGGGTTTGAAAACGTACCGGTGTTTCCCGGAAAATTTGTAAATTCTGATTTTAATCCACACAAAGACAATAACCATGACGGACGTGCAAAAAACTCGAGATGTCTTTCTCTGGTGCATGTCTGTAATTTATTTGTTCGCTTTTGCATCGTTGTACATCCAAATTCCAGGTAATTTTTTGCAGATGTTTTTCTGAAATTTGGCACCAATTTTTGTGCATTTTTTATTAGACAATTCTCGAATTCTGCAGTTGCATGCAACTTTTTTGTTCTCTTCAGATTACAGCTTATTTTATTATTTTCCCTGAAACTCTTTGTGCAGAATAGATTTGGAAGAAAGCAGAATGGCTCATAAAATGAATGTTTTTGTTCTATACGATAGCCTTGAATGTGCAGCATGCCTTTTCTTCTTGATTTACAACATTACAATGATATTCTCTAAGTTAGAGGGCAGAATGTGCCAATTTTTTTTTCTTTATAAGCTTTGTATTGATATTTTTGAAAGCTATTTCTGTAAATAAATGATAAAAGAAAAGTCATCATATAATCTCATCATTATCTCAGAAAATCTATAAAAGCTAATTAAGCCAGAATAGAAAATACTGTAATTAGGCCTAGTGTAATGATCATAGGTTAGGCTTCTCTACATGTTAATAACACTCAAATAATTGCAATGTGGACCATGAATATTGCCAGATTTAAATGGAAGAGCAAACAGAAAAATCCTCTTTGAATATGAGCATGATTATAGATATAAAAAAAATATTTAAAATGAACATTTAGAAAATATTGAAAATTCTGTTTTATCTTTAGAAGAATAACCATTCCATAAGCTAAATAAATAAGCAATGCAACAAAAAGCAACAGTGTTGATGGAGATCATCTTTTTAGGATTTGAAAAACAAAAGTTAGAAAGAAACATTGTTTAGACAGTAGTCGGTGTTTGATCAGATCTGCCTAATTAATCAGTGATTAATGATCAGAGAAATTAATTAAGATATATTTTATGTAAATAAACCTCACACATACTAATACTAATCAAGATTAATCAAGGATATAACAGGTTCCCTAAATACTTAATTAGGGGAGAGAAGCACTTTGGATAAGATGAGGTTTTATTTGTACATTTGTGGTCAGCATACTTAAATATAATGGCAATACATTGTTTGAGATTTAAAAGATGAAATAAGATTTGGTCCAAAATATCAAAGCTTAATAAATAAAACCAACATTATATGGAAATAACATTTAAGGGGATTGTAAAGAGGTTTTCTGATTTTTTTTATTATCTGTACAGGGGACACTGATAGCATCAAATTGCACCTGTGGTCTGTGGTTCTAGCAATTACACAAAAAATGAATGTTTGATGTCATCACATAAGGCCCTTCATGATTAGTGATGTCATAAAATATTTAGGTTTACTGGAATTGCAGGAACCTCTTTACAATCCCTTTAAGTAGCTGGAACTGTATGTTGGCTTGTCAGAATTGAAGGTTGTTTTTGTCCAGGTTCCACCCACCTGTAAGTTTTGTTCCTGAAAGTAGTACTGGTATCTAATATCATTGAAAATATTGTTCTTTGTTTATAGGTTTATATGGCAACAATGGAGTTATACCAGCAGAACTAAAAATTAATACAGGTATGTACATATAAACCTGGCTATGACACAAGACATAAGCTTTAAGATCCATCGACAAATCAACAATTGAAAATTTGAATATAGTAAGCTTATGTAAATGATGTTGTCCTTGTAAAATATAAAATGTTACTCATTGAACACTGCATGACATTGTCTGTCTTCATTACCCAAGATTGGTGCAGAACACTAGGTCATACAGCTCAATCTCTTTTAATATCACTATGAGGGGGAATGCCATATACTTTGGTAGAATTCCCTATTGAAATGTTTTGCCGTTCCATTTTTTTCAAACAATTTAGCAAAGTTTGTTAGCTTTATCCAAAATGCCTTCAGAACTTTCTAACCATTTTATTTTCAGAAGCGAACTCATGGCAGGAGTTATTAGATGGACAACCAACATTATTAAAACTGACACCAAAACTAGGATTAGACGTACAGACTGGGATGGATTTACTATGTCTGGGTGGAATCGTCATCTCGTTGTTCTGTATGATATCTAAAGGTGGTCGAGACATCGTGTCCTTTACTTTATTATGGATGCTTTATCTTTCTCTATACCAGGTTAGTAGCCTTGTTATTTTAACATGTTCCTCTGCGATTGCATGTGATTGTGAACTCTCTGAAAGGGATATAGGGTTGTAGAATAGAAATAGTGGTACCAAAGAATAATACCATGTGAACTCTCTGAAAGGGATATAGAGTTGTAGAATAGAAATACCAAAGAATAATACTATGTGAACTCTCTGAAAGGGATATAGAGTTGTAGAATAGAAATATAAAGGAATGATGCTATGTGAACTCTCTGAAAGTTGACAAACCTGAATCTAAATTTGATCCCTGACTTTTTTTTTCGAAAATATTTAGCACACTATATCTAAGTTAGATGATCCTGATCTCCCATCCCCTCTCTGAATGTATAATCCAGCCAGCCTATACCTTATCTTTGAAAAAAAAACACACCTTCCCCTCTTTCTTGATATATACCAGTCTATACCTGAACAAACTGAAGCCAGAAGTATTGATCTAGTTGTATAGTTAATTAGATAGATAGATCTATGTACTATAACATCTGTCTTCTGGAAGTTTACGTATCTGGTATTTTTATTGTAAAATATCTCTTTTCTTTATTAATATTGATTATTGTATACCTTACTTTGTTTCGTCTGATAGCCTTTGTCTCGTTAACACATCTGTAACTATAAAATATTTCTGCTGTGTATCACTTTAGTAGCAGAAATCCTAGACTTTCTATTGCCAGTGGCTTTTTTTTTTTTTTTTTCGAATAAAACAAGTAAAATTTTGGGTTAA